AGATCCAGCTTAGCCGAGATTATAAAAGGCTAAGCTGGTTAATGTGAATAATAAACATCTAGCCAACCAATATTTTTCTCTTGTCTTTCCTTGTTTCCCTCTCCCAGTTTCTGCCCCTGACAATGACACCATCTCAATCGATTATCATTTGGGGATAATGATAAACTCACGAACTATGAGTTTAAAAGTTCCATCAGACAAGGTGAGGGATCTCAGACGAGAGGCCAGCAAACTGATCAAAGCTGGAAAAACTACACTGAGAAACTTGGTAAGTTTTATTGGAAAGGCACAAGCAATGTCGGTTGCTCTCTTCCCTGGTCGCCTAATGTTGAGAAAAATTTTGGAATTGGAAAACAATTCCTTGAAGGATCTGAAATCATGGACTGCCACGGTGACTCTTAACAGTCCAGCAATTCAGAACTTAGAATTTTGGAAACAGAGTCTGCAAAAATGGAACGGTCTATCGTTTCTACCAGAGACTCCACAAATGGAAATCTTACCGATGCCAGCAACACGACATGGGTAATAGTTGTTGGATCCCAGTGTTATTCGGAATTGTGACCTCCATCGATAGTATCAGCCCACATAAACGTCAAGAAATTATTAACAGTGTATTACGCGCTACAACTTCACAGTGTTGTTGGTCGCTCTGTATTAGTCTATTCAGACAACACTACAACCCTAGCATACGTACGGAAATTTGGGGGAACTACCTCTCCCAAATTACTAGAAGTCTGAGAAAAACTGTGGAATCATTGTATAGAGACAAACACACGTCCTCAAATAACTTATGTACCAACGTAAATCAACCCGGCAGACGCGCCATCAAGACTAACAGCTCAAAAGGGATGATCTCTATCAACAGAGACATTCAAGAAACTGAGCAAAATATTTGGCCCATACAACGTGGATCTGTTTGCAACAAGACAAAACAAGAAGCTGTCCAAATATTACAGTTGGTACCAGGACAGTCAATCAGTAGGAACAAACGTACTGAGCCACTCCTGGTTGCAATAGAACAGCACCTACTGTTGTCCCCCGTGGAATCTAATATCACAGATCCTACAGAAAGTAGCACGGGAAAGGATAACTATGACAATAATTACGCCAATGTGAAAGTCTGCGATTTGGTATCCAACTTTAAAAAAAACCAAAATAGCAGAGCCCA